TACTTGGGGTGCGTCCCCAAACTAATGAATGTGGCGCTACAGTCTTAGTCAATGACACGGGTGACGTAAAACGATTTCACTACTAACAGAAATTTGGTGGAATTGAGCAACAACACGGCCACTTTTACTCGGTTATTTACCTAGCAGAACCAAGTCAAATTATCATCCCCATATGCAGTTCGTTAAAGGAACAAACCTGATGGCAACCGAAGTTACTTGCAACCTATTTCTAACCACAAGCAACCAAGCGGAACTTCACATCAGCGAGTAATCCGACCCTTATGACTCGACCGAATCTTGGTAGCCCAAGACTTATCAATAAAGCAATAACAGCCGTTAGAAGGAAAGTGAGTTAAAGTGTATATCATCTATATTTACCTTCGACTAAAATTTTTATGAAGAAGGCATTCTTCATTTCACTCCAAATCACAACGCCTTCATATCATACTGAGGGAGCGCAGGTCTCAGGGTTATTAAACCTCATCCTAAAAAATTTAGGCTTTCTGAGTGAAGAGAACACTGACACCAAAATCGTGCTACCAGATATGTTTGCTTTGCAAAACTATGAACGCAGTAGAGGTAGTACGGTTGTTACCAATACAGTGCACTCTATCCTAATGTTATCGAAGGTCTGAAACTTAATACCCCTATTCATCTAAAACACGACAGCATAGGTTTAGTGGATGTTTTATACAAACATTTGTCGTTTACTTCTTTAACAGACAAGCATCTAGCCTCCACTTCGAATACACTTCTTGCGTAGTCACATAGGCACGTACGTCTGGTACGCAGATTAATCAGTCATACTCTAAAAATCCCAGTTCGGACTGACGAACAACTTTAAGTGCAATGACAGAGCCAGTCGCTGGTTTAGTAATTTAGAAACACCTCACCTCCGTTACCTGATTTAACACAGGGAACAAAAAGCTGTATTTAGCATAGTGTTTACCAAGGAGTGGAAACATCAATTTCTATCATTAAGATCTCTACGACCATGCAATGCTGCTGTTCAAGGTCATCTGTTTTTCAGAGAATTCCGAAGGAATCATTTATTATTATCATCGTATTGCAATTTACAACGTGCTGACTACCCACTTTAGGGTAGCCATTCGGTCATTTCTAGATGAACAATCGTGGCTGCCAATGGTGGGATTTGGTCAATCAATTATGCATGATACCAACCAGCGCATGGAGTAACAGGCACTGTTGAAAGAAGAGAAGTATGCTTTTATACTCTATATAGCAACAAGATGTATGCTCGTGTGACATTCCCTTTGGCGAAGGTCTATGTATACCCCCTGGCGCCTTAACCTGGGAAGCCAAACGGAATCATTACGTAGATCTAGTGCGTGCTGCTTCACTAAAGCAGTAATAGAACCCTCCATGAAATTCTGTTTAAAACTTAAACTGTTGACAGCGATTAACAAGGAAACCGCAAACTGATTTCAAAATATAACTTTGATTTACTCATTTTGTAAATGGACTGCGACGCGCATTTCTAACCTAGACCGAAATTCACACTGGTGAGAATCCTGGTCGATTCAATAATTAGATGGAAATTGATGTGGCGGATATATATTAGGTGTTTCCTACCTGATAAAACCCTACTCCACGACCGGTTTCAAACTGCTTTCTATCGCCGTGCGCAAATACCAAGACCCACCCAAACGCTGGGAGTTTGCATTATCAGCGGAAGCCTCTGCACCTAGGCTAGCGTATCGCACGGCGATGATTTTATGCGGGTGGACACATTGTGAAGTTGATAATATCGTTCTGCGCGCATAACTATCCTGCAGTTAACAACGGCCCTCAAATTCATTGGGAATTGCTGCCATGAAGTTAGCCCATTCTACGTCGCGGTTTTTCAAATTCTATTAAGCGATGCGTGTTCCAAAGAGCTGAAAATACACTGATGTTGCTTTGTTAACAAGAAGTAATATGTACAGATTCGGCCAAATGCCACCCGATATTATTCCTTCCATCTTCATTGAAGACATTATAGTCGTAGAACTAAAGGGGTTAATTAGTAAATAGATAATTATCCGTGAACCGTCCTTAAAACACAAACTTGCTGTTTGTTTGTTTCAGCTATAATTAAATTGTTGATGTCAGCGTGGGTCAATGGTTCATCTGGATATTATTAGGTGTTTGACTGTCTAAACTGCCGAGTTCTCCCTTATGAGAATTAAAACAACAAGAGCGGTGATCTGGCATCAAGTTGGCTAATAAACGTTGTGTTTCATTGACATCTAAATGGCAAAGATTTTAACGCATTACCTACCTCAATTAAATTAACCTGCGCAGCACCATTTAGCTCAATATCGGATCCAAGTTCAATTCAATTGGATTCAATTTCAATCTGCATTTACGAAAATGACCTCGGTAAACTTCACCAGCACTTTTTAACTCTGCTAATTACCACATGGGTCTACCACATGGCTCTACTGCAAGCTCTAGAAGGATGGTAAGAGCAAGCTACACCGAACAAAATTTCTTTTATTTGGCTCAAGTGCACATCAAGGCGTACAACGCTGTCCGTAGGTTCAAGCGTACAACTTGAAACGTCAGCGTGTCTGCGCACTTCTGTTGGGTAAAACCTCGGATTAATGGAACATTTCCCACTCAGCTGTTCAATTCAGACCGAAAAATCTTCAAAAATGCCAAAGTGCACCTTGGCGCATCACCTAAGGCATCCGGATAGACTGACCAGGAAAAATCCTCTCCAATTACCAACGTCATCCTAGACCCCATGCGGATTATGAGACTCATGTCTGATAGTTTTGAAATAGCATAAAGTTTCTGCATTAGAGATTCCAAAAAGAGGAGTTTGCAAGAATATAGAGAATTGTTACCTCTGCGTTAATAAATTAGACTGCAAACCTGCGTGGTCCACACTGGATAATATGGGCGGGTAGGCAACAAATTGCTGACAGCATTGCAGATCCTGAATAACCTCAACTATAAATGTCAGCTCCTGATAAGTTACCGCGATGCCACACTTGCAGTTCGTCAGCCAATGCTGGTCGCACAGCACAGTCGGTTTGGATGAAGAAAGCACTTCTACTGTATTTTTGGGTGCTAACCGTGGAACATCCCCGCCACCTAAGATGTTTCTTTGCCAAAATTGCTTATATGCAAAAACATATTCAAAGTTTACCCATGCGATTCAGTTATAGAACATAAAGCTAACGGATGGGGCGTTATTGCAGCACAAACAATGTGCCCACCTAACGAACTGGTAACTTCAGAAACGCCTTATTTCGTTAGCGCGTTTTATTTTCCGAAGTATTTAGCCTTCCATTCTACGGGATCTTTAACATTTGTGTTATTTTGCCTGATGAAAATCAACTGTTTGGACAGCAGTATTTTAGAAATAAATTGAACAACTCTTCCCAGCAGGCATTCATTTAAACAGGATCTGTTATAATCTGTCGAGCGGTGTATGTATAATTTGTTAGCTATTTCCATTACTGTGGAAATGTTCGATTGTCATGTTACTTTACATGTTACGTTAATTAGGGACCTTATTGGAAACATATGTAGAAAGAAATATCCTCCAGCATGACTGTTGGTTTGTAAGCATGGATTGCCATGTACACTTCCAATCGACGTCCAACAGAATAAAAATAAACAATCAAATACAAGTCACAAGTGACCACGACGTATTCTTGATACATATAAATAACGTATTCGTGCTCCTCAAATACAGTAAAAATGTCTTTGCCGTCGACCTCGGGGAAGTCCTCAAATTATATTCGGATGACATCAACGAGTATCTCACCAACATAAAATCTGAGCTGCGTGCGTTATTTACTTGGTGGGACAAATAATAATCTGAATATTCACATTTGAAATGGGACTGCGTACGTCAACAATTTTAAAGCTGCTTTAACCTCATTAGTGCATCATGTTGTTTAACTATACCTTTACGTTGCAATTCGTGATCTAGGGCTGCATTAGTCCAATAGCTTCCTTGTTAGCAGACATGTCCGTTGCGCAGTTTTGAGTATTCGGAAACCAGAAGGGTTGATACCAATGTCGATATTAATTAATTAGTCAAATGTTTACCAGCCTGGTAATGTTATTGCGCCCATGGTCCTCCTAGTTAAATATAACTGACAGCATTGCTGTGCAACACGTACAATACTTACACAAACATCTCCTAAAATGGGTGGAAAACCTATATGTAAGACCATCGCCGTAATGAAATGAAACCCTTGTTCTTTTGATTGAGGGGTAAAATCACTAAGCCAGGCTCAAGTACCATCTGATCCATAACTGATCCTTTAATTCAGCCAGATATTCGGGACGCCAAACTTCTCTTAGGTAACTAAAAAGGGATAAAATTAAAGTGCTACCGATCGAAAAATACGAATTAGTATAAGTGTTAGGTTTTTTATAAACCGCCGCACAGCTGTCTGACAAATGGCGTTTCAAGTGTCGATAGATAACCATGAATCGGGGCCTTCGGCAGCATAATAATAATAACAGCTTTTAGTGCCAGTTGCCAACCAAGATAAGTTAGCTTGGTAGTATTGCTCTGTATAAACAACGGCTTGAAAGCATTTGTGAATAACGCATGACTCACTTAGTCATTTGGACATTTAACTTCTGCCCTGACCCCCATGGTACACGATGTACTTGTAAAATTAGGCTGGCGCTGAAATTTTGTCCTTTTTTCATATTTTTTAACATTTCGCTTTTCCAAGTATCCCTCCTTATCGTGTGTTAATGCTGACCGTACCCAATGAGGTAAGTTAATCATCAAAATCTTAACAACTTCCTAATTTTTCATCATGAACACACCGCCTCTACCTAGATTTTACCCGGCTTGATAAAATGACATGAATCTTCACTAATGGGAAAACACTAATATTCACGAGAGAGCTTGCATTCGATTCATTATTAATATGCCCCTTTTGCTGGCATGTAAATTGCACCTCTGCACATGAGCAAGGCTACCTTGAAGCCATTATGTCTGCGTGTAAGTTAACAGTTTAATGAATGGCCGCATTATTTTACATGATCACTTGGTTAAACCTATCTTTGTTATTGTTCGCGGTTTCTTAATCTCTCTAATAATTTTCGACTGCTATTCACTTCAAAAACGCCCATGGGAACTTTGTACAAAACACGTAAAATTAACTATTTTATGCCATCAGGTTGTACAGGTTGATCAGACCACTCAATTGGTTTGTGCCTCGTACTGTCGAGGAATAAACGTTCATTTATTTAATTATAATAAGGCAAGTCAGCTGTAAACTCAGCTTCAGTTATATGCTAAAGTTTGATTATGGATGGTGGTAACTAAAACCTGCTGCCATTAAAAAGAGAAAGCCAGCAATGTGCAGAAAAATTAGTTCCATTCCGTCACAACTTCTGCTTAGCTTGCCCTACAAACTGGTAGACGTATTTGCAATGTATTTTTGGTGCTCTGTTTGGTATGTAATACCTCTCTTGCACACTGACACTTTATGATGTAATCTGCCGATTTCATCCAGTGTAACATGCAATAAGGATCCGAGTAGTAACAATAGAAGAGGAAAACCTTTTGATACTGGTCGAGAAGTTAGCCTTAAATATGTAAACCCAAGAAATGGGTCCTTCACATTACTTTCAGTGTTTTATTCAGATTCGAATTAAAGTAAAAACGGAATATGTTGCTTTGAAAACCTAAAATGCCAATGCATGAAATCCATTGATATCTACATTATTACTGCAATAGGGTACAGTTTGGCAACATTTCATATAACTACGTCGGCAAACACCTTTTTGAAATAAGTAAGTACTTGTATGTCTAATGAGCAGAATCTTCGTTTCAATACAGAAATAAGTGGTTAATTCACTATGCTATTTTGAATCATGTACGACTGAACATGCATAATATTTTACCATCCGATTCTCTTTGCCGTATGATTGTCACTTGAATCCGTATTATCCTCATACACTGGATAATAAACTTAGTATAGACTTTCATCAGTTTGATGTTCATTGCATTTGCTAGAGGATAGGCATGGTCAGCAACAGTTCCCAACAAATTTCATTTAAAGTTTTTTGCTCTACAGCGATCAGAACTGGAGAGTGCATTGTTGAGCACCAGAGCAATCTCTCACAATCTCTCAAAGCCGTAAATAATCCTTACACAGTCAAGTCAAAAAGCATTGGCTGAATGATCCCTCAACCATCATGTTAATTACCTTTGAAATTAGTGAGGGTCTAGAAAACACCGGACACGTACCGTTAACTTTTACTGACTGACTGGTGGTGAATCGGAAATCAGCAAACATAATCGGTAGCTAACGTGACCTAACATTATTACTAGGATGGTTGACTTCATGTATCATAAAATTATTTTATACTGCTGTTTCAAATATATTCCGAGAGCTTTCTCGCGTGGTGGTTAGCTCAGAAGTGAATGAACAATGATGTAACTTAACGCTCATTTGACCATAAAAACGGTACACATCTATTTTCATGGCAGCTTTGGTAGATGTTCGGAAATCTTTTTATTTATTTAACTTACATGATATCTGTATTCTTCATTTGTTTACTAAGTTCTTCATTTCAGAAGCAACGTCTAGGTGTACGTGAGCAAACGTTTGCGCTTTAACTTTGCTTACATTTATAATGCTTGCCTGGCTGTTAAATAAATAAATAAATGGTATATTCCTCGGTGATTCGAGGTGCAGTCCAACTATGTGGTCTGATCAATGTTCTTAGGCATATACTCTTACAAAGTCATCTATGTGAAGTATGCTCTGAGGTGACGAACCAATGTGGTGTATTTACTTGGAGTTTTGTAGTCCGCGTCACTAGAAGCTGCCAACTCGATCTTCTCAAGTCATGCAATTTTATCCCCTGTTAGTTTGGGTCTCCAACTAAACCTTAGCAGCCGCACTTCAGAAGGAAAAGTAAGCTCTAATAATTTGGTATATTAGATTAAGTTAACTTTTCTTTTATGTCAAAAATCCAAGGCAACATTAACAAAATTAACTACTAGCGCATAAGTATGACATTAAACACGACACAAATATGTTGGTCGGCCAAATGAAGAACGAACAGTTTTGTTTAAAATTTTGACTGCTTTCCACATTCAAGAACGTGTAAGATACTCTGCCATTGCTTTACTTACATATTATAAATTAAATCACCGACACTGTTGTAGTTTGTGTTTCCATTCATTTAATCAATTCAACCAATTTCATTAATCAATATATTAGGATTTCCGGACATTTGAATAAAGATTATGGAATCAGCTTCATGCGTAATCTTGCAGTGTAACAGGCATTTTTGCATTTTGTTGTCTCTGGCATACACAAGGATGCATATTTGAGCTTCTGCCTGATACAATGCAAGTATCTGCATTATCTACACTTCAGTCACTCCGAAAATATAAATATTTTCTGCTTGCATAATGCAGTTCGGCAACGGCAAACATTGCAGTCCACAAAGCTCTTCCATGCTGCAAATTGACATACAAAATATGCTCTCATCAAGTGGCCCCTCTCTATTAGATAGGAAATTTCACCACGGCCAACCATGAATTGGCCACACGAAACTCATCAGCACTTAACCGGAGTTACGCACATCACAGTGGGGTAAAGTTGTAAACACCCATGAGCGTTTGACCATAAGTTTAGTATAGAACTCTATGACGAAGCAGTGTATCGCAGGTTTGATACAAATTTTTCTGCTAGCTTTGAGAACTGATATTATTGGTGCATCTAGGTGTTTAGGCTACATTATTAACAAACGAATCCCCATGGTACCAACAGGCAATTTGGATCCTAGACTGCTGCACTGGATGGATTGATGTATCAAAGCGTTGCGGCCACAGCTATTTCTTTACTAGGCAAAAGTTAATAGGCAAATTACGATGCCTCACTGGTACTCCTCATGTGCATCATAAGCTATAAACTCGCATTCTACATGAACACAGTATAATCGCACAATTCTATACGATTATGGATTTGTAATACTAGAGATAGCCAGAATGTCATCAATGGATAGTCAATGCAGATTAGGTGGTAACTAGGATTTTAGTCAACTTTCTCATTTTCGTTTATAGATGAACGCACGAATTTAACAAACCAATTTATGGCCTGGAACTTCAGATACCCTAATTTAAAAGTTATGTAAATAATATCCTGTTTACGGGCATTTCTGCGTTTGCAATTAGGTTGATCAACAATTTATGTATGAGTCGTATTATTCTGTAGAGATCTAATAGGCACAAATTGCTCTTGGAAATATCAAACAGTTGACACAATAATTTTTCTAAGAACATCTTGCTTTTACCATCGCAAACGTTGTAAAAAGGATAATTGTCCCCCTATTTCTACGTGAACGGGATTGTTATATTTTATGTTAACGCAGTGCTCTTAGCATTAAATTCAAATGACTTTAAAACAGCCTAAAATTTGTCCTCTTTCAGTTGTCCAATATTCACAGTAAGATGCGCATTAAAAGTGACAATGTTCAGTTCCTGTTGTATACATTTACAAAAAAACCAGTCCTTATAACTGTTATATCATTTGCATATCGGGCTAAGTTCCTTGTTTGAATTTCCTAGCTTGGCACCACGATTAAATCCTTGTTGCGTGCGGATGTTTGTCATAAATAAAATAGTTAAAATATATTATCTAGTAAATCACCACTATGGTTCATGCATTTTCAGTCGGCTTATAACATTCCGGTGTTTGGTAGATGTGAGAAAATAATGATTGCGAGGCGGCAATAAAGACACCACAGTCCCAACTATTTGGGCATGCTTCAAGTCAACAGCGGATTTTGGACCCGACTCGGCACCCGTTCAACCCATTGTGTTACGTGTAACGAAGTAGAAAGATGAGAGACAAAACCAGCTACTAATATTTCTTTGTGCTGACAAAGTATGTGTTTTAGTCCTCTATTAAAACCTCACTAGAACTCTTTCTAATATTCCACTGTGATTTTTTGCATAAAGCAATAGGTTACATTCGGTAATGACAGCGCAAGAAGATTAGCGTGATATAAAACTACATCGTTTCATTTCTCTACATATGTATTGGATGACTGAAAAAGTGCATGGACCTGTCATTGGCTTTTGACAGCTATGTTGTTTGTAGCGTATATCTTATAATCACACGTCTGTGTCCAACTGTTCCGTAAGTATTTGTGTCCAATTATGGCCATTTGTTTCTTCTAGCTGCGTTGGATAAACTTCACATGCCTGAGGATTGGTCTCCAAAACATGATAAAGCAAAGTTTCCATTGGCCTGCGAGTGAGCAAAAAAGTCATTGTTAAAGGGGAAGAGCTAAGCCATGTGAAGAATTACTGAATACAATGCAGTATCATTCAGACAAACTCCCATACACTTAACCAAAGAATAGACCAGCGTGTCAGCTAGTAATCTAACGAATCCCTCCAATGGAACTACACTTACGTTTGCTCCAACACAAGTCATCTAGAGAAGCGTGAATGCTGCTTATACATGCTGTCCCAAATGATCTACTTCAGTGGCCACAAGGTAATATATATATTTATACATATATATATATATATATATATGCACGTCCGCACAGTACAAAGCACTGTCATGCAAATTACATCGATAGCACAAGAAAAATACTTCGTGTGGAAGCACTGTGACTTATGCCATCCAACTAGCTTACCAACGGTACTGAACTAACAACATGGTTGCCTTCTACCGGTAGATCAATACTATAATTAAATTAAACTTCAAGTAGGCTGTTCATTTAATTTGCTTCCGCATAATCGTAGGTTTCGCATCAGACACTTTTTCGTCACGGAAAGGAAAATGGTAATACGTATTGATCGGCTGAATCAGTTGGTAACTTTTCATTTTTGTTATCACGAGAAATAAGGTATTTTAGCTTCATTCAACCCAAAATGGTGTTATAAGTCTAGTATATATTTATAGCTGAGCAACTTCCCAGTTTCGTGGGTGGTGACGCATTGAGTGCCGCGAGGTGCAAACATTACTAAGGAAAATTTGTAATAGGGATAGCTAGTTAAAGAGGATCTGTTCTCTCCGGTTAGTATGTAAAGCGCACTATTAGATATGCATTGAAAGGGTTGCCTTGCATTGTGACGCAAGGTGTTATCCAAATTTCTGTGAAAATTACCCGTTTTTAAAATTCGTAGCTGCTTTCTACCCCACTAATTAACCACGGTGGTTTCAGAGAAAAA